ATCTTCACAGATGTTACAGACCATGTAAATGCATGGCAGATTCCTAAAATGACACTATTCCCTTGGGTACTGAAGAGAGATATTGGTGTATAACGCCAGCATCTAACTTCAAGCCTCACAGGAAAAATGTCTCTTCCCATCTCCTACTGAATCATCTATATTACCCATTCCCCATTCATATTAAAAAATAGAATATCTTTATCCCTGTTAATTTTTCCAGCAACAATGGTCAGTTATCACTGATATTTATTTTTAGCAAGGATGTGAAATACGAAGTGCCTAGAGACTTGGAAAACTGCATCAGCTACTGATGGGGGTGGTGATCAGGTTGGAAATCCTGGGGGTGGTGATCAGGTTGGAAATCCTTGGGCTGGCTGACAGTCTCCTTTTGTTTACTGAGAAATGTAGAAATCATGAATTTTGCATACACTCTTGGATCCTTTGAAGGAGTCACTTCTCTTTTTCTCCATAACATCTTTCCTTTTGTTCTTACATGACATTAGGTATTTCTAAGAAAGAGAAAATGTTCCTACAGGGCATACCTTTGACTTTTCATATCACCATTTTTATTCCTAGTGCTCAGGTGAGAATGAAAAACAGAGATCATTAGGGTCACATATGGGCTTGAAGATCCCTCGTGAGAAACAGCTCTGCATGCAGTGAACTGAACCGCCTCTCAGTCCTTTCCGACCAGAAAGTATGAGGAGTTTTGTTGACTCTACCTTATCTCCTTTCCTCTGCAGGCTGCTCTTCCCTCCCTTGTGCTTTTGTACTTCTGCACATTAGAATATTAGGTCAAACTCCCTCACTAAAAATTGTGCTATACAATATTTCTGATTTTCTTCTTTTGCTTGATTTTCTCCTCATCTACTGGAGACATCAACAGTAAAGTAATTTTCCCCTCAAATGTTTGCCCTTTGATCATGCCAGAGTTTACTGTAAACATTATGTCAAACAGAGCTTCCCCAGTTCTTTACAAATGTTTACTCTGTGCTCAAAGGTGTCAGGAAAACAAGGATCAACTATTACTTTCAGAATTATTAACAATTTTTATTATTTCCTCACTTATTGTATGCTATGAATAATGTGTTACAGAGCCCAAGGGGTCTGTGTTCTGGACAATGACGAAAGTGTCACATAATAGGTTAACAGCAATCTGATCATTTACTGGTACATAAATTGCATGATTGTATTGTCTACCCTAATAGTGATGTTTTTGATACTTGTGGTGGAAGCAGAGGGAGGGATTATCTGCTGTTTGCTGTGGAAACCACTTGAAATTCGATCTGTAGGCTAATTATAGAGCAAATGATAATCAGACTAGATGATGGGACTGTCTTCTATAAATTTAAACCTGAATGTACCTTATGTTGTCTAATTTTAGCTAGCTACAGTGACAGGGACAAAGTACTTTATTTTGCACAGCAGGTAATTGAGATTTTATATATATATTGATATTTTTATATAGATAAAACTATATAAATAATAAAATAATAATTTAATAACAATAACCTAGAATAATATATAATATATACTGTATAAAACATATTTCATATATGTTTTTATTTTAAATATTTTTATATAAATATATAAATTTATGTTTTATATGTAAATATACTTTTAAATAATGTATTATACATTTTATATGCTTTTATATCCTTATAGAGAGATATTTTGAATATATATATATGTAATCCAGTGGAAACCAATGGTTCATAATAATGTCAATATTATTCTGCAAAATCTAATATAGACCTGAATTTCTCTTTTCCTACTAAGAAATAGTTCTGTTTAATGGAAAGATCCATTATCTCTAGTATAAGATCTTGATTGCAAACTCCCGTAGGGCAGGTTGTAAAGGTGCAGTATGTAATAAGAAGCTTTCACTCAGTTTGATCTCCACTAAGGGCCTAACGACACCAGTTTCAAAGCAATGTTGTTATAGCTTGTTTTCATGATGCAGGAATTGTTACTAAGCTTTACCTGACCTCACTGTGCAGACTTCATCCTGGGAATCTATCAATCAGATGCATTTTTGGCATTCATAAATCAACTGCACAGCTCAATTCCAGAACATACACCCCTGCTGAATGCATTTCTCTGTGCTACAGTCATTTACACTGAATTCATATGGAGTGGTGTCATCAGGCTCCGAGTAAAGAGGGAGGCAGGAAGAGTTCATATATCAAATTTTAGATTAAATTTTACAAGAATAAAACTGGTATTAAAACATTATGCATTGATGAGTATAGCTATCTGTATAGTCATTTTCTGAGTTTTAATATGTTCTTCACTTACGGTAAAAAAAATATTACAGGCTCCAACATGTAAAGAGGTTAGAACTTGTTAATGTAATTAATATTTCTACATATGAAGGCAAACAATCACTCACTTCTATTCATAAGTAAATCTGTTAAAAAAAGGATGCATATAAAAAAAAGCTGTTAGTTCACCTTGGAGTGTAACATGAATGGACTATGCAGGGCTCGGGCAACAGCCGGGCTGCCCGCAGGTTGGTGCCAGCCACCAAGTGCCGTGTGTTTCAAAGCCAAAGCAGAGCCACTGCAGGAGGGGGGACCGCGGGACTGGGGCGGATCACAGAGCCGCTGTACACAGGCAGGCACACAGTAGCTCTCGGTATAACACCACGGTCAAGGCAAACAGTATTTTCCTTGGATGAGTAAACAGGGGAATATCAGGTTGAGCTAGAGGGGATGGATGACACCTGTAATTAGGACTCTTTGGGGATGACAGTGTTTAATTCCAACATGGAAAGTTTCAACAAGGTGTTGATGAATCACAGTTTTAGAGAAGATGCATAGTTATTATTTAAGGACTTGAAAAAATGCATTACAGTGAAAGCCTCAAGAACTTGTTTTACTTAACCAAAAAAAAAGGATTAAGGGTTATTTGAATAGAGCCTAGAATTATCTCTATATGGAACACAAATCATAATGTAAAGCTTAGAAATTGTCAAACAAAATATAGTACCTGGAAAATGTAGAAGTAGAACAGGCAAATTCAGACCAGACACAAAACTTCCTTTTATAATTGTAACCATTTTAAGTGGAATTAAGTTTTAGAACAACCTACCAACATTTGTTCTGGATTTTTCATCACTGGAAATGTTTAAGTTCTATCTGTGTGTTGTGTTATGTACAAGGCTATATGGACTAAATAAGCACAGTGGTCTCCTCTGATTTCTAATCTATTAAGAAAAATAATTAGATCCTGTTCCAAAGTTGATTTCAGCCTTTACAAATCTACGTATCCTTCACAAATCAAAGGAAAAGTCCACCATGGAAGTAAAATTAATACACGATTTTAAAATTTAATTTAATTAAACACTTTTAAAATGTGAGTTAAATGTTTGGTTGTATGTTCTCACGGGTACAGATTTTTATATATATAATTTTCTCAGGAGAGAGCACAAACCAAGCTTCTGAGAAGACAAGATACCTCCCCATCCCATCAGGCTTGCAGCCTTGAGACTAATCGTACATGACTGTAGTAGTGGCTGTTTTTCTTACTGCACTGAAATGTTTTTCTTTCAAACTGAATATTGCATTGAGAGCCTCACAACCCTGTAAAGCAGAGCAAGGGCTGTCTCACTTCTGGACTCCAGCTAAATACACTGAATGAGGGGTTGTATTTAACCCATTTCAAACATCCAGATGAAATATGCTTATTTGCTTCTTATACAGGCTAGGACATATTTCACTGAAAGATGAGCTTAATGGAAATAGTAAGTGATTTGTCATCAGCTTCAGTGAAACCCAGGATTATACTTATAGTACACATGGGAAGATAGGCTTTCTGAAAAGAACATCCTGCAATCTCAAACACTTCATCATGTGAACATAATATACCTCCATATTATACACCTGCATATTCTGAGCAAATTATGTCTTAAAGGAAATTGGGCTTTTTGCTCCTAATTCTACTGTTGGAAGTCTTTCCCAGAATTTGAAAAATTTTATTTCTAAAACTTGAAACCATTACCTTCTTTTGTAACAACTGCTGCCATGACAAAAAAAATGTTTTGTATTTGCTTTTATGGGTGGATACACATTGTTTTCTTAAGCTCATCCAATACAGTGAGCTATGCATCAATGGTTTATTTTACTAAGATGGTGTTTTTATCAGAACTAAAATAGGAATTCTGGATAGCCGAACAATTAATCTTTCCTCATCATTCTCATCAGGCTCCAAATCACCACCAAAACAGTTAAGCTTTTTCTGCCTGTGAAACAACAAGCATCTGACCAATTAAACAAACTTCCACAGTAAACTTACCCAGTTTTTGCAAAAGTTGCCCAGTATCTCAGCATGGACCGGCTTAAGATTTCTTCAGCTTTAGTGTAATTCACTCTTCTTTCTAGGGGCAATCCAAACACAAACTCGATCTCATAACCATGCATTACTCCCATCCACTCTGGCCAAGGGAGCTTTGAGGATCGATGTTCAAAGAAATAAAAGAAAGCGTTGTGTCCTAGTTGGGCAAATTTTTTGGTGAATTCCATTGCAGGACATATTATGTTGTAGTCACCAATAACATCATCCATGGCATCACGGTAATGTTCTGGCTTTTGCTCATTTTCCCAATCTGTGTACTGAAAAATGATCGATTCTATTGCAAGTTGGCTTGCTTCTGGGAAGGACAGAGTTAAAGCTGCTTCAAATTCTGTTTTATTGATCAAGCCATCACTATCCTTGCTGAAGCCAGGGACGCCATATGCTAGGAATGCTGATCCTTCATCTTTATTAACACCGACTAAGATCTGTGTTTGTTTGAAAAGGCCATTCTCAATCACCGTTTCTGGCATGTCTGAGAGAAAATCACCATCCACAGTTGGACAAAAATATATTTGTAAAAGAGAGTCATATTTTACAACAAAAATTTCATTCTCCAGTATATCCTTTGGGTCCTTGTCTTGGAGGCAGAGAATTAGCTCTGTCTCATTGTTGGTGGGACACTGGAGTTGTTTAGCTAAAGCTACTGTTCTGTTTCTGGCTTCAGATGCTGTTATTGCAGCCCAAGGGGCATTTGCAGATCCACTTTGCATGATGGCTCTTGTGAATAAAGGATGGCTTTTAGGAGAAAGGATATGGTAGCTGACAGAAGCTGAGCCAGCACTCTCTCCAAATATAGTCACACTTTTTGGATTGCCTCCAAATGCTGCTATGTTCTCCTGGACCCACTGAAGTGCCAATCTTTGATCAAATAAACCTGCATTCCCAGGAGCTTCCTGGTTTCCTGGCAAAGCCAAAAATCCTAATGCACCAGTCCTGTAGTTCATGGAAACTACAATGACTCTTTCTACCCTGGCCAGAAACTTGCCATCATAGACCGGTAGGGAAGTCGACCCAGTCTCAAAGCCACCACCATATATCCACACCATGACAGTTGCGTTCTTGGGTTTGGGAGAAGGAATCCATACATTAAGGTATAAGCAGTCTTCACTTAGGTTAGTTTTTGGATTCCACATCTCTGATCCAGGAAATCCCGGGTAAGTTGTATCTATAAGCTGGTAACAAGAGTTTGCATGTTTTGTGGCATCCCAAACATCTGACCACTTCTCACGAGGTTCTGGTTTTTGAAATCTCAGTCTACCAATGGGTGGCTGTCCATAAGGTATTCCAAGGAAGGCTGTCACAGTTCCCCCCAGTACCTGCAGGTTCGTCCCTCTGACTCTGCCTTTTTTGGTTGTAATGATGTTATCTTCAGGCACTACCTTCCTGATAAACATATACAGGAGAAGCAGACACATAAGAAATCTAGTATAGACACTTGTACCATTTGTCCAAATCATGGTGCCTGAAACACAGGAAAAAAGAAATTCAGAATTAGTATTGCAATGTATTAGTACCAGAGCCAAAACAGTTTATTCAAAAAGGGTATAGGTCATCCCAAGGACATTGAAAGTAAAATGATGCTGCTGCACAAAACTCAGCAGTCTTTAACTATAAGTTTTTGTAAGTTAGTTGTGTTGCAAAGACTGTGTTTAGTATTTAGTATTTGGTACAGTGCTTCAGAAAAACTGTTGCTAAAAAAAACATAGAACTGAAGAAGCCAGACCAGGGAAGGTAAAGTCATATAAGCAGACTCTGACTACTTCAGTTAGCAGATGACTTAACCACTTGCATTTCCACTGGCACAATGAACAGGGCATTTTATGATCTGTGACGGACAATGCCATGCCCGACTAGCCATTATTTTGTAGAGGCTACTTTGGCAATTGGTATTCTCAAATCAATAAAGAGTGATAACAAACATTGCTAGGCACAGATTTTTCCACACATAAACATGCATCCCATGAACACCGAAAAGGAGCTTGAAGCCAAGTTTTAATCCAAGGATTTTCAGGTCCGCATAAGTTTTGAACGATATGCTTGTGTCACAGTAGATTTCTGGGCTGAAGCAAACTGTTGAGATGGCATTGCTATAAACTCAAAGCACTGGGTGATTTCACTGTCCTACTCGTATGTCTTAAGATCTGAAGGTGTTTTAACAAGTGAAGTACATGAAGTGCCTCTGAACTGACTGTCAGTTCATCAGCTCCTGTGGGTGACTGCATACAGAGGTATGCCAAGACCTAAACGAAACTTTTCTTTCAAGATCTTTTTTCTCTAAAGCAACTTAACCAAGTTTACAACCATCACAGTCATGACAAGTAGTCATACTTCTACTACTTAGAATGAACATTAAAATGCTAAAAAGCCAGGGATTTTTTAATATATGTAGGTGGTGCCTAATAATTTAAGTATGGCCTTGTCTTTGCTTCCAGAGAACTTTTCAAAGTGATAATTAATATTATCTTAAAGCTAAGGATATAGATGCTGATTATGTACCACATTTAAGCATACTAATAGTCCTATTTACCCCAACCTTTTCAAATGCTATAAAACCCCCAGTATCTTCCCCTTGAAAGTGAAAAGTCAGAAAAAGACAATTTGCATAAACCCATTTCTATGGCTTACATATTTGAAAATGGTCAACAAAGCTTCCTTCTATTTTTTGCTTGTTGCCCTGTTGTACATAGTGTACTCTGTCCTGCCACTTTAAACAGGCCATTCTTTGTTAATGAGAAGCACTTGTGTCCTTAAAAGGAATGAGGCTAATTTCTGTGGAAAGTACAGCTGTGGCCTAATCTGAGCTCCTCCTGCTTGTTTGCGTATTCTTGGAAATCAACTAAGAAAATGCAGGGGGGGGGAAAGGAAGATTTTGCACAAAGAGGTTCCTAACTTTGAGATAACATCAAAGGAGCAGGGAAGAATCTTCAGAGAAAATATTTTTAGCATTCATGTAAACAGATAGAAAATAGATAAATTTGAGAAAACATAAACATTTACACCCTTGTCTTTTTATTAAAAAAAAAGTTAAGGTGGTGAATGGGGGCAATAGACTTCAGAGTTGGTCTAATACTCCACCTAGCCTTCAGCTTGACTTATAGAAACCTGCAAATGGTCCCATGTATGCTAAACTTTAGAGATGTGAGTAGTCAATCTGGATGACTGTCCTGGTTTTGGCAGGGATAGAGTTAATTTCCTTCCTAGTAGCTGGTACAGTGCTGTGTTTTGGATTTAGGACAAGAACAAAGTTGATAACACACCGATGTTTTAGTTGTTGCTAAGTAGTGCTTACACTAGCCAAGGACTTTCTAGTTTTCCATGCTCTACCGACTGAGAAGGCTGCAGGTGCACAAGAAGCTGGGAGGGGGGCACAGCCAAACTGGCCAAAGGGACATTCCATACCATGTGACGTCATGCTCAGTACATAAACTGGGGTAACGTGGGAGAAGCTGGCCGGGGGGGGCCGCTGCTTGGGAACTGGCTGGGCATCAGTCAGCGGGTGGTGAGCAATTTTACTGTGCATCACTTCCTTTGTGTATTATTATTATTATTACTACATTATTATTCTTATTGTTATTATTATTCTATTTCAATTATTAAACTGTTTTTATCTCAACCCACGAGTTTTTCTCACTTGTGCTCTTCCAATTCTCTCCCCCATCACAAGGGGGGGGGGCGGAGGAGTGAGCGAGTGGCTGTGTGGTACTCAGTTGCTGACTGAGGTTAAACCACAACAATGACACATGTGGTCCAGCAACTCCTGAGGATTTGGGGTAAGCAGAGGCTTGCTCCGGCAGCCGGCAGGACCCACACAGGAGGCTCACATCATTTAGTGGCATTTAGCTCCCCTTTCTATGTGCCAGTCATTTTCTTTTCCGTTCATTCCTGTAATAAAATCTTTTAAGAGCTGGGTGAGAAAAGGTATGTAAAGATTAGCTTAGGGCTAAACTCTTTCACCCTATCTCATGGTCAACCAAGGCAACTGGGGTAGCTGTGAGAAATGTTAATAGTAGGGATCTAGCTGGATATGTGTGCACCCAATGCACAGCACTGTGAGATGGGAAAAGTAATTTCTATGTCTGTTGTTTCACTGACGCTGTCTTTTTTCATATACTCACTTCTAACATACCACCCAGGACGGAATCACAACAATAAGCTGGAAATAATAAGAGATTTCAAACATCTTCATTATGAAGAAGAGAAAATGACACTAAGAAAAGCAAGAGACGTTAAAGTTCCTAAAGCTTTTAATATCTAAATAGTAATTAAAATTAATTCCCCTCTGCACTTTCCTGTTAATTAAAAAAGAATGGGATGGGAGGAAAACACTGTAGCATTGCAAAACAGAGACATTACTTTTGACCCTAAGAAGTTTTAGACAAGAACTTTATGAAGAAAAAAACTAACAAAAAATTCTGTTCTGTACCTTTTTAATTAGCTCTGCAAAAGAACAGGTGGCATTTTAAAGAAAAGATTTTAAATAGATCAAGCTTGAAAAACACAGAAGTTTTGTACTACTGAATGAGAGGACTTGTCTAGTCTCAAGATACTCTGCTAATATTAACAAAAGTAACAAGTAACAGAGGATGATTATTACACCTTGAACATATGGCAAATATTACTTTTAATAAGGGTTTTAATGCTGCATTAAAACAAACTGAACAACGTAAAGCACACTGAGCAAAACAAACATTACTTGATTACTACTATGAGAGTAAAAAGGTTAGAAGATTGCTTTAGCTCATCAGCCTTAACCGAGCAGAGATATATCATATAATGTATTTGCACACTTTAAAAAGCTGCTTGTGTAGTAGTTTCCTCCAGCAAAAGTTAAACAGACTATACTTTTTTATTCTTATTCAGAAAAGGAACATAATTTATTTCAATAACTGTTTCCTCTCCTTGCAAATCTTCACACAGCCAAAAAAATCTATACACAAGACTATATAGTCACTATTTAAATAGAAAAGATGGTTGAATTAATAAGTGATTTCTAGCTCAGTTTAATTTACTTAGCCCAGGATCCCTTGAATAATACCAAAGTCTGATACACACGCCTGCTTACTCGTTCCATTTGCAGAGCAGAGTGAGCTTTCCCAAGAGAGCAACAAATGGGCAGAGCGTAACATTTTAAAAGATCCCAATCCCCATGCAAATGAAGCTGAACTGGCAGACAGAGACGTGTAAATAAAGAATCACTTACCCCACTTCTATTACAAGAACTACAAAGTTTTTAAGAGTCAGGATCTTTGAATACTTCAGGGAAAATGCAGTATGCAGCTGCTGCTTTAAGCCCGTGAATTGGACAGTACTGACATTATAATCAACTGTTTCTGACACAAAGCTCGCGGGAGTTGGCAGCAGCAACTTGATCTGCAGGCAGCCGTTCCTTACTATCTGACATCTGCTCAAAGGCTGATGGTATAGTTGTAGAAATGCTACAGAGAAAAACACATTTTGGAGAAAATCAGTCATGAGCTTCTACAGGAAAGGGAAGATGCAGTGATTTGTTCTTAGCACGGGGCAACAATTTTATACTCTAGAAAGATAAACAGAATTATAATAAAATCCTGCCTCTCTCTCCTTCATCTTGCTTAGAACACCAATCTCACCTGTAATTTTTTGCTGTTGTACAGCTCAAGATAAGCACAATTTTAAAGTACCTCAAACTTTTCTTTTCACTGTAACTTAAGTAGTTATTTTTGGTTTTAAGCAACTGTGGCAGATAAAAAAGGAGTGTCCTCTGCACAGACATGTCAACAACTGGTAAACATCAGTGGTATTACTTGACTCATGGCCATCTGTAGATTACCATAGAAATCTGCGTTGTCCTCTGCTGATGTTAAGGTTAAAAATGGTACCCATGTGGTGTCACACGCTATTTTCTCTCTCTTCTTAGGCTTCAAATACGAAATCACCAATGCTGCTTAGTATACCAAATATCCTCCTTTTCCTTGAACCTCTTAAGTATTGTTTCCGCCAGAATTCAGCGCTGCAGGTAAAAGCCAGTCTAAACCGCAGGTCAGAGCTGTCAGGGTTTCGGCACAGTTGGGGACATGTCCCACAATGCAGGGGTCCACAGTGCTTGTCAGCAGTAAATCTGCACCTGTAGTCCCCCAGCTGGGAGTGGCACCCTCTTTGCTGTGTGCTATAGAGATGTATATTGAGAGACTATTTAACTTGCAAATGTTTTGAGGCACAAATGAAGGCAGAATAGAGAAGAGGAGTGAAGATAAATAAATTACATGAAAATAAATAAATTACAACTCCCATTACAAAATGTCTTGTCAAACCCACATCCCTGAGCCACCACATGAAACCACCTTGGTAGTGAGGCTGCTGGCCCCCAGCAGCATCTGCTCACTAGTGCCGCTCTGACAAAAAAAAAAGTTTCCACAATTTAAGGTTTTCTTCTACTGAGAGCCTTTGCTTTCCCCATTAGAGCTGAAGAGAGTTACTTTCTCTCTGTTTAATAATCACACTACAGCTCTGTTTCAATTAGACAAAGGCAATGTTTGTAATGCATAGAACAGGAATAAAGCAGAAATAAAAAGTTAAGTATGAAGTTTATAGACCTTAACATGGAGACTACAAATGATTTTTAAAAGCTAGCACGTGAAATAGTGTTTTAATAGAGAAAAGCTCAAGAAAGCATGGTCATTTAGTTTCTCCCAGTAATTTTGCAGTCTACCTTTAGGATCAGACATTTGAAAGGTATGTTGCAGGGACCTGTCCATTGGAGAGAACATGGCCCAGTCTAAACCTAAACCAGGTTATAAATTCCTAAGCTTTTAGCATGGAAGTGTCCAATATAGTTGCTAGTTGGGAATTCAGAATTCTTAGCCGATATTTTTAACTCAGCAATGTAAATAGAAATATTTAATAACAAAATAGGATTAATTCAGAATCAACTCTAGTTGCAACTCTTGCTGATCAAATCTTTTCAAGTCCAGTTTTCTGTAGGAAATACTAAGTTGTGCTCTTTAAATTAAGGCAGTTTTCAATGTTCTTTGACGTGTGCATTCACTGACTTTCTCTAATGCCTCTTCAACCCATTTGGAAACATGAACAGGTGACACATTTGCTTCATTTTCGTGACAACAGAGGAATGAATCATAAGCCCCAAATCTTGTTAGAGGCCACTTTTAAATAAAGTATTTCTGATGCTTATGACAAACCATTGTATTCTCAACCCTCATCACTGCTTTCAGCAGTAGAGAAACAGCAGGAGACTCAAAACACTAAAAATGCTCTTTCTGGCTTCATCTATTTTCCAGCATTGGATGTGTTGTCCTATACCTGCTGTCACCACAGCTCCCTTCCCCTCTCCTCGCCCCTCTCTGCTCCCCTTTACAGTGCCCAAGGCACCTGAAACAGCATCCTGCTCTGAGGCAGACACAGTTACTAAATGCAAAATGTGGAGCATTTCTATGGACTCTGACAAGATGACCCTGGGACAAGTGAATCAACTGTCTCAGGCTGTTTCTTGGGCGGTAGGAAACACTGAGTTCAGCCTTGGGGTTACCTGGATGTCTTCAGGGAAGGGGGGCATTAGGACAGACTGTTTAGACTGTTATACTTCTTGACTATTATACTTCAGTCTAATGTTAGACTATTATGCTGTACTTTTTAAGAAAACTAAGCCCTCTTCTATAATTTTTCCTTTAATTAAAAAATTAACATATAAATTAAAGTTTCACAACTGTGTGCTGTGAGAGGAAACACTTATTTTAGTTACTACTTAGCTTACTAAAAATACCTGCATGAAAATGAGAGATTAAATACATTTGATGCCTTTAGTAATTCTGCGTAGAGTGGTGATTTTCTCAGTTTTCCTTTGGGAGCTTGAAAGGAAAGGATGCACAAACCAGCAGATAGAACACCATATATACAGATGTGTGTGTATATATGAGTTGTTATACATACATATATATATATGTACATATACTGGTACTTTTAAATATCTCTGCCAACTATCTACCCATCTATAATGCTGGGGGGGGTTGAGGTTATGTAAATTTTTATTTAAGGCAAGGTTCTTAAAATTCACCACCAAAGATAAAAGTGTCTTTTCATTATTTAATGTGTACATATGAAATAGATGTCACACTGACATAGGAATTTTGATACAACAGATGTCCAAGTCTCTTAAGAAATGAAAGCAAAGGCCAGCTCTAGGAAAGACTGACATTTGGTAGGCTAAGAAACTTAGAGAATTTAAACAATATGTATTATAGAAATATCAAAAATTTTTCTTATGGTTTAGTTCATTATTAAACTGCCCTTCAGGATATTACCTAAGCATATGCAGATGTTTACATTTATGAATATCCTAAATTATGCACATTATGGATTATCTTCAGGATTCACCTAATAGCACTGAGAAATCTACGAGAGAGAAAACTGTTTGGAAAAAGATGTATCTCAGATATTTCTAGTGGAAAACACATGCCTCTCTCCCACGGTGTCCTCTGAGCTTTCAAGGTCTACTTGCACGTGAAGAGTCCCATTCACCAGATTTGATCCTGCCCTTCCAAGCCATCTACAGCTTCAGAAAGAGGGCTCCTGTAAGGATAACTGGGCTGAAAAGCTATGTCACTTCAAAGTAAAGGATATCACGTATGACGTGTGTGCATGTGTGAGGAAATATTTCCATGCTAATAGTATGTAAAAGTAGGAAACATTCTTAGTTTTTTAATTGCTGAGAGGAAAATCAAAAGGCAAATTATAGCTAAACTACATGAAATGTCATTTGTATGAAAATGTGGGGAGGTTTTTTTTAAACTCCAGCCTTGGCAAGCTCCCTCAAGGGGCTTGGCCGTCTCTGATCCCCGGCTGAATTTTCATGCTGAGCATCTGTGTGACCTTGGCTAAACCTCTGAGAAAACTGCTACGTTGTAAGAAAAAGCTGTGAGGAAAACAAGTAAACTCAAGCTGTACAAGATACGAAAGGTGAAATTGCAGACAGGGGTAAGATTGCTGAGATGGGGACAGTTAGCAGCTCAAGGACTCAGAGAGAAAAACACCAAGCTGCAAGCTGTGAAATCTTCAGGTAAAAAAAACAGAAGTCGGGAGCTCAGCAGCAGCAAGGAACTACTTAGGCTCAGCTTTGAGGTTTGCATTCACATTATTCTACTGTGCATATTAGGAAATAAATCATTGCCTTTCCTTTTAAGTTGAGTATATCCTGCTTGCAGAGCATGTTTCTATGCCCAAATACAGTGACACAAAAAGGTTACACCTTTCTCCTCTTTCTGTATTTCTTTTGCAAATCTCATACTCGGTACTGCACGCAACACCTGTGTATACCCAGGAATGTAAAACAGGCACACCCTAAATAAACCTGGAGAGAGCTTAAGTGCTGCTACAGGTGATTGTAGCTGGTGGTGGGACCCATCTGAAATTCTGTTGTTATTCTGGTTATTCAAAGAAACCTCACTCCAGAGGACCTTCCAGGACTAGCAAATGTGCCCAACAATAGATCTGAAGGATAATTTGATAATATTAGGAAAGGTGTCTTAGATACATACCATGAAAATGGATACCAATTTATTAAGTATACAGAAGACACTAACACTCATATAAGCCATTAAACATGATTATATTTTCCTCTTATTGGTTCAATTACGATCCACTGTACCTTTCTCCTTATTACTCCAATTATAGATCGGTATCATTTCCTCATTATTAGCACAATTATGGTCTGTACTTTTATAAAACTCTTGGAGAAATCAGAGCCAATGAGAAAATATAGCCAGTTAAAAGATAAATGTGGCAGTATTATTATTTTATTATTATTATTATTATTATTATTTCTTTTGAATGATCACTTACTCTTAATTCCTTATAGTACTCTTACATAACTCAGTATTTTGTCTCATATAGGGATCAGATTCAATAAAGAAAACAAAAAATGGTTAATGTATACACAATACATTTTGCATGATGTTATTATAGCTTGGTGTTTAGCTTGTAAGAAAACAGGTAAAATTGGAGTGTCATCAAAGAGCTGAAATCTTTTGTGAAATCTGAAAGCTAATTAAATTATATGTTAGTTTTCACAGATTTCTGCAGAAGATGAATTAATTGACAATAAAACTGTGTTTTCCATTTCTATGTTTCCTTTTTTGTTCCTTTTTTAGTTTAAAATTATGTAAAGATGTGTTTTACACCACCAAAGCTGGTGTGGATATGTGTGTTTTGAAGAAGGGACTGCAGGCTGTTAGTCTGTCCTTCCTCTCCTGACTTAAATCAAGCAAATGGTCCAGCCCATCCAATACGCAGGAAAGAAAAGAAAAAACCCAATGCTTGAAGGAATTGAGCTGGGGACTAATGCTGT